TATATATATATATATATATATTATTTTATTTTTTTTTACCATTCAGTACTTATACAAAATCCGCCACAATAAAAAAATATATGGAACAAGTTTCAAAGTAGCTTTAAATATGATTCTAACCATATTTGAGGAAATTTCTAACCATATTAAGACCCTGCCAGGATTATATTCGAACTCTATTCAAGCATTGTTCGAAAGAGGTTCAAATAGAGTTCGAATTAAGGTCAAAAATCATTTAAATAGGGCTCAAGCAATACTTAGTAGTGTAGTGCACTAGAATTTTTCATTTTTGAAGATTTTGATCATTTTGTTATCCATATATTATTTGATCTACATTTATATTTACGTGATTGACCGACATATCTCAAACACTACATAAATTTATGATTTTTCTGACGGCCACAATCTGTCGGGTTATGACAAGAAAAATCGTTGTTTTAAATATTACAGACAATTTTAAGCTTGTAGATAAATCTCTTGTTGGTAATTTTAAAACCGACTGATGTTCTGACGGTATGAGTTTATTGACAATTTAATGTCGTAGTTTTTTTCGTGAAAATGGACGGTAATTGGCGGTTTGTATAATCGATGGTTCTTTCGTCGATAATAGCGATGACATATACGTCGGAAAAGTGTAGCACCCGTGGTTTTTTGAAGCAGGTATAATCTTTAGTTATGTGTTGTTTTCTATGACCGACGAGTTAACTGTCAGAAAAGAGTCACACCCATCGGTTTTTTTACGTAGATAAAAAACGTTGGTTAAACGTTATTAGGTCGTGGAAGAGGGTTATTATAATTCCAATCAAGGGGAAGGCCCTACGTTGCCATTGGCTGGTGCCATTTAGCCTAGGTGGAGAGGCAAACGACACACCAGACCAATTAGGAAATGTCACATGATATGAGTGCAATTTGGTGTTTAAGTCATGGGAGGTCTTCGTGGTTACTAGGAGGCCGGCCAGGCTAGGGGTGGTGGCTAGCTGGCTCAGGGAAGTCAGGGGAGTTTTAATGGTGATTAGCCTTGAAGCTAAGCCAACTCAATGCATAAATAAGGAAGTTAGCCAAATTAGGGAGGGGTTTGCACATTTTATGGGACCATTGGTCCATGGCATCAAGTAGGTTTGGTTAGGTGATGTGATTAGCATCTCACGACTTAAGACATGGCTATGGCAATTAAGCTTTTGATTAATACAATGGTTTGGATCAAATTTTGGCCTTAGGCTTAAAGTTGGGTTGGGCTTGAAATTAGATTTGAGCTAGGTTTGGGCTCGGATCTAAACCAATTAAAGGCTCAAATTGGTCTTGAAAAATGCCATGATGAGTTTGTTAAATGGATCTTATGAAATTGGATTGATCATGTGGCTTGATTTGTTGAGAGGTTGAATTTCGGGTTAATTTGGGGTAGTTGGCTTGGGCTTGGAATTTGGGCTTAGAATTAAGTAGAACCGGGATTGTATTTGTTTTAAATTGGGCTTGAATATGATAATATTTTATTTGGATTTGAAATTGGGTGAGTTTGGAATGAATTTGATGAAAAGTGGAGATGATTTGGGAGTTTTGGAAGTTTAGGGGTAATTTGATAATTTTGGCCATTTTTGGTAGATTTGGGAAATTATGGGTACAATTGGGAAATCTGGATGGCTAGAATAGATTTTAGTGAAGCTTTGAGTGAAATTGGGGGTTTTGGCAATTTTTGGGCATTGGGGGCGTTTTGGTAATTTTTTGGTGGTGTTGAAGTATTTTGGTAATTTTGGGGAATTTAGGGTGAACTTGGGCAATTTGGATAGGTGGTTCAACATGAATTTTGGTAGAAATTTGGGAATTTGGGTAATGTTGGGGGACGGTAATTGGCGGTTTGTATAATCGATGGTTCTTTCGTCGATAATAGCGATGACATATACGTCGGAAAAGTGTAGCACCCGTGGTTTTTTGAAGCAGGTATAATCTTTAGTTATGTGTTGTTTTCTATGACCGACGAGTTAACTGTCAGAAAAGAGTCACACCCATCGATTTTTTTACGTAGATAAAAAACGTTGGTTAAACGTTATTAGGTCGTGGAGGAGGGTTATTATAATTCCAATCAAGGGGAAGGCCCTACGTTGCCATTGGCTGGTGCCATTTAGCCTAGGTGGAGAGGCAAACAACTCACCTGACTAATTTGGAATTACCACATTGGATGGATGCAATTTGATGTTTAAGCCTA